ACTTTATATAACACACCTGTTAACAGCCAATGGCCTCTAGATGTGATTAAGGGGAATGAATAAAGTTGCTCTATATTAACCCACATTCCTTGTGAATCTCAATATTATCGCCAGCCCTTCATTAAGACTGTTCACCCCAACTTAACCTCTGTGGTTCTAAGATATAAAAATTTTTATATTTTTAAGAAGAAAAGGGGAAGGGTAAAGAAGAAAAAGAAAAGTTTGCACTGGTAATATAAAAATCCCACCAAAATCAATCACTAGCCTAATGAGAGCCTTCTTTAACCTTGAGAAGAAAAGAAATCAGCACAAGAGGTGAGAGGGAAACTTCCAAACACTTCTTATCAAGAGGACTTCTCAACACCTTGCTCTTTTGCATTATCTAATTACATCATTGGTTATAATGTGGTACGACACAAGGCATGTGTAGCTATGTGTCTTGTTTACATTTCTTTTACATGTCGATCAACCAATTCAAGATTTCAACCAATCACCAACCAGAGAATCCGGTGTAACAAAAAATTCAGGGTCAAACTGAGGTAGGCAAAATTCACAGAAAAAACCAAGAAAATTTTTACATGCTTGAAAGTACTACTATAGACATATATGATTGATAAGAAAAGATCATATGTCTGAAAAGTAGGTTCCTACCAGCTTATCCACCTGCCTGGATCACAGGAGTTTTGAATCTTATGGTGGACCCAAGGTTTTTATGAAGCTTGGGAATTGTATTCACTTGATAGGCACCAACTAGTTTATTCACCTGCCTCTAAACAAAGGTGTTTGCTTATGGTGGACCCAAGGTTCTTATGGAGCTTGGGAAATGTATTCACTAGTGGTTCACTTTCTAGAGTTCCAGACCTTTGGAGAAAGTAGTGAAGAGTGTTTTTCTTCAAGTTTCTTCTTTCCAGTAAAGTATTCTTGCCATAAACCAAATGGATAAAGTTTTGTTTATTTTGTCACTGAAATATCCAAAGTTTTTGAAGAAAGAAGAGTAAATAAGTGAGGAAAGGCACCTGCTTTCAGGAAGTAATGTTTTTAAAGAAAGTATATAGACTTTATTATCAAAAATAAAAAATTTATTTTTAAGAACATCTGTTTTTTGGGTTGGCAAGGGAATCAGCGGAAAGAGTTTTTTTATTGATTTATACTTTATTAAACTAATAAATTAATAATAATATTTATTAATATTAATTAAAATTCTAATATTAATTAATACTTTTAAAAAATATTAAAACTAATTAATATTTTATTAAAAATTTTAATCAATATTTAAATTTATAAATAAAATATTAAAACTGAAACTAATAAATCAATAATAATAAAACCTATGGATATATAGTATAGTGGTTAGTGCTTCACAAGTCAGATCACAAGATATCAGTTTAATCCTATATAAAGATAATTAAACAGAGTTGATATGGTATCTGATATTATAATTAATTACATCCTGTTATAAGAAGCCATTTTATATACTAATTTAGTAAGCATTAAAATTGTAATCTTTCTGTTAAGGTATAGTGATATAATAATTGTCTAATTGGTGTTACAATAATCATATAATATAAAAGATATCACCATATATTTGAATATATAGACTAAACTATATTTTATTTTAACCAATCCTTATCAATTTTCAAAAACAATTTCTTATTTGAATATATAAATTGAACTGTATTCTATTTTATCAAATTCATATAACACTTTCCTTTTCTGTTGACTAGCAAATAAGAAAGCTTTGAAAGAGAGCACTAAATTGATACTACTATCTTATATGACATGGTTATCTTAATGACTTATTATATATATAGGAATTGTATTTTGTTTAATATTTATGCCTTTAGATTTGACAACCTATGCTAACTGGTTTTGAACTGGAGTATTTACTAGAAGATAAAGAACTTTGGGAGTTTACTTAACATGGTCTGTATGGTTTTTAAGAAGTTATATTCCACTTGATTACAAAAATCCCTAGATTTGATAACCAATACTAATCAGTAGATCAAAATTGAAATATTTATTAAGAAATACATATTTATATTGAAGCCTTTTACTAATATTGATCAGAATTCTAGTATTGCTTAATTATATAAAAATATTTTATTTAAATATATAGATTTGTTTTTAAATTATAATTAAAAATTGATATATATAATTTTTAAAGTTAGTTTGATATACAATATATAAAATTAGAAGTTTTAATAAGTATAAAACTGCTTTAGATTTTGATTGAATTACTTAACTAAATATTTTGATAATTATTTTTTTAAATCAGTATTTAAGTAAAATTAATTTTTTATTTGATATATCTAGTATATATATGGTGTAAATTATTTTATTATTGACTCAATTGTTAAAATTCCAATTGTATCTGACTTAATTATTTTATATATTTAATAGTAACTCAATTAATTGCATCAAATTGTATCAAGGATTTATCAATTTCTACCATATGTATAATATCTAACATTAATATTTTTATTAATCTATTATTAGAACTTAATATAGAAAGGAAATAAATTAAAAAACATATTATAATTATAATACAATTAAATAATTTAAGTTAAACAAATATATATTACTTAAAAACTTTTATATAAGAAAAATCAAATAATATAATTTTTATCAATTTCAATTACTAGTTACAAAAATATCAAAAAAAAATATTTTAAAAATTATTATTATTTCTATTTTAAAACCAACAATTTAATTTGAATAAAAATTATATTATTTGATTTTTCTTATAAAAAAACTTTTGAATTATGTATTTTATCTAAATTAAAGTATTGATCAGTAATAAGTTATTAAAAATATAAAATATATAATTTTTAATTATTTATGATCAAAATATTTCTATAACCAGTAATTCAATTTGAATGCTTTATAAAATTAGTATCAATATTTTTTTTAAAAAAATGATAGTTAATTATAAATATTGTAAATTATTTTAGATTAAAGTGAAAAAAAAAAAATTCTAATTAAGTATATCGATGTTATTTTTTTTTACCAAAAATCTAAAATTTTATCAAAAATAAAATCAATTATTGCTTCAATACTTAATTTTTAAAAAAAATGATAAAAAAAAACCTATATACAAAAATCAATAATTTATTCACGTGTATAAAAATATTGTTAATGACTATAATTAATTTTTTTAAATAATGGAATGAGTTTATAAGAATGGAACGAATACTCTTACTTACCATTTAATGCTTTAAATTTACAAGAAATGGTCATGTCAACTCTTTGATCACGTAGAACATTTTCGTAGATTTAATAAAAAAGTATAAAAAACCAATCACCCGATCATTGAACGAAATCTAACGCAGAGAAATATTAACTGCAATGCATATATATTTATTTATTTCTATCGTTCTATATTACATTTTTTTCATCCCCAAGTGGGTTGTTTTTTTCCAAGAGCCTGAGTAACAGATTTTTTACATATAATTCCGTATCAGAGGAGAAATCTTGACATAACGGACTATTATTGTCTTCTGTCACAAATGAGGCTATTATTTTTATTAAAGTTCACATAACTGCGCCACACAATCTACATTACTATATTCCTTTTTTCCGCCTTTCCACCTTTCCACCAAGCTTCCATTAGCCACATGATTGTAATGCACATGCAAAGACGCTCACTTGAATAAATACAAAAAAAAAAAACAACGAATATCGACAATAAGTTTATTAAATTTTTTAAAAGGCTAAGATTAAATTAACTATACAAATACAGACCATTCTTCAGTCTTAGTTGAAATTAGCACAGAATCAAGATTTTCCAGTTATGAAAGGATGCATTAGAGCCTCTTTTACTGTTAACCGCTTTTCAGGGTTTAGATTCAAACATTTGTCCAACAGATCGACAAAGCTTGTCAGGAGGCGCAATTCTTCATCAGTCATGTGTGAAGTCTTCGATAG